ACAAGAAAAGGAATTAGTGATTGCTTGATTCTCTGTCCAAAATTAATTCAACGATAAATGTAGAATCAAAACGAGAAAATTTGTTGAGGATTTGGCGATTTCTCCAAAGAGTTTTGGAGAGAATGCGGGTTTGGAGTGGACGACGAGTCGTCCTTCACATTTCGATCGTTGTCGTCTGCTACAACATTCCAATTTGGTCCTTGTGTATTTTGATTTTAGCAATTACGCCATCTTGTGGTATAATTTCAACACAATCTTATTAATTGGGTCCTCGTAAAGTGCAATTTTGAGCCTAAAATTTTTAATTGACTCGATTACGACCCTAATTACTTCAATTGTGTCCCTAAATGAAAAGTTTTGTGTTTTTCATCATTTTCCTTTCTTTCTTTTTCTTCTCCTTTTTTTTTTAGTAAACTTCAAAAATAAAAATAAAATAAAAAATAAAAAATAAAAAATAAAAAATAAAAAATAAAATAAAATAAAAAATAAAAATAAGAGAAATTTTGGGTTATTACAATGATATTGGAATGAAATTGCTTTAGGATGTCGATTGCTTAGAGAATTGACTAAATCAATGTTAGGGTTTTGAAAACCCATGTGGGAAAAAATGATTTTAAGCAATTATAATTACTTAAATGATGTTTAATTATCTTGGGTAAGTAGTTTGTGAAGTTAATTTGAAGAGGAATTGAGTGAATTTGAGTAATTAAGAGGTTAAAGATAATGAATAGTGAAACATCCAAAATTAAAGTTTTAATTTAAAAGAACTTAGGAAAAATGAGGAATTAAACTATATAAATGCAATTACGAGTTAATGGAATGAGCCTTGGATGAATTAGGATAGAATCGATCATTTCATTAAAAGTTGATTGTTTAAGGATTTATGAGTAAAAGTTGGTTGTTTAAGAATTGGTGATGATGAAATATGGTTAGCTAATTGCTTAGAATCAATTGAGATTATAGAATTTAGTTAGGCTTTCGGTTCAAATTCTTTCAATCAAATTTGTTTTTATCGATAATCTTATGTTCTCGATTCTAGAATAATTCAATTGTTTTTAGATTATTCTTTGGCATATGATATTGATGGTTGTCCATCATGTGTTGCTAGATCCTTCGAAGCGAGCGACTCCATTACAACCTTGATTCCATTCAGTTCTTCAAATTATATTATAAGTGAATATTATATAGCATATCGTATTTTAAATTTCTTGAATTATGTCCGTCATGCATCATTGATTTAAGAATGATTTAGAAACATTTCATTAGAACTTAAAGGGGAATGGACTCCATAAATTTTGCAATGATTTCGTATCAAAATGATTGGATATGATTTGAAAAGAGATTTGAATATATGTTTGTACAAATATCATATTTATTTTGATATGTGATTTTGAATAAGATTTTCATCTTAAATTTTTATTTTGATCATACTTATAATTTCTATGTATGCTATTTGACATGATATTGTATTATCAACTCGATTTGGAGCATTCATTGTGTTTTGGAATAAGTATAAATGTATTCAATTTTTGAAAATATTTTTGAGATCATAAAAAATCTAGCTACATGGGGCGTAGCCTTTGAATTCAATGATACAAGGCTCCAGCTAGCGGGAGAGGTTGAGTGCTAGCTCGTGTGTAAGTCAACATACGAAAATCTAGTCACGGAGGGCATGACCTTTGGGTGTTTGCACTCAATGATATATTATTAACCTCATGGGTGTATAAAAACCTATATATATGTGATTTCATATGATTATGATATGTGTGTGTACAAATGTTTCGACAATTTGATAAGGAATGGTTTTAAACCATTTAAAATTTATGATATACGATTTGGTTTTTATGATGTGCATTTTTTTAGGGAACTAGCATTGCATTTTAAGATGGATTTGTATGTGTCATCCTTAGTCTATTTTCCTCTCATAGTATGTTATATAATATATACTCACTAAGTTGTTGATTAATCATCCCTCATTATTTAAGTTTTGCAAGATATTGAGGGATTGCCTTTTTCTTTTATTCGATTGTTTGTTTGATGTCGGCAAATTAATCGTGCGGATTACTTTAATTATAATTTCTACAACCTATGTATGTTTTATTCGGTTGTATTATTAAAAGCTCTATAGTTATAGTCTGTGGGTATTGTATTATAAATTGATTATGAATATTGATTGAGAAATACAAGGATAACATTGATTTATGATTTGTGTCGGAATGTAAAGTAACGAATGTTAGTTGGAAATATTATAGAATGAACTAATATTTGACATGACAATGATTTGAGGATTTTAGATTAATATTCAAGGCTTGCTTAAGTTGAGGTAAGCCTCATGATTCTCTCGATTCTCACACCGATCATGGCCCACTCATAAGGTCGTGCCAAGTCTTGGTATCGAGCTTAGGCTTTAAAGTCTAGGATAAGCTGTAGAGTATAAGTTCTATTCTAATCCATGTTTTTACCTCGACTCACATGGATCAATCCGTTAGCATGCGTTTTAGTCCCTATGTTTATATTCTTAGATTGCATGCAAAAAGTATGATTTATATGTGAAAATCTCTCACATGGTTTGCTTAATTTTAACACATACGATTTACTTTTGATGATGTGCATTATTTTGGAGAACTAGCATTGCATTTTGAGATGGATTTGTAAGTATCATCTTTAGGTTTTTTTCTCCCATGGTATGCTATATAATATCTACTCACTAAGCTATTGATTTCTCATCCCTCATTATTTTAGTTTTCTTGGATATTGAGGGATTGCCTTTTCTTCCATTCGGCTATGTGTTTGAAGTCAACACATTGATTGTCTTGCTTACTTTAATTATAATTCCTAAAACCTATATATGTTTTATTCAATTGTATTCTTAGAAACTCTATAGTTATAGCTTGTGAGTATTGTATTAGGAATTGATTATGAATATTGATTGAGAAATGTAAGGACAACGTTGATTTATGATTTGTTCCAAATTTAAAGTAATGAATGTTAGTTAGAAATATTATGGAATGAATTAATATTTGACACGATAATGATTTGAGGATTTTAAATTAGTATTCGAGACTTGCTTAAGTCGAGGTAGGCCTCATGATTTCCTCGATTCTTGCATTGATCATGACCCACTTATAGGGTTGTAACAATGAACATCTTGTGTATTATTCTATATTTTTGTATTTAATCATATTTAGAGTTTGTTATGTGGTTTAGATTTCAAGATATTTATTGGACCGTTGAAATTATTTGAGACTCTAATATTATATAAAATTTAATAATTAAGTTTGAATTATATCTAACATACTTAAGTCTTAAGGTAAGTGAACAATTCTCAACTTTATATATTAATAATTTATTATTTATTTATTCGATATAAAATAGAATTTCTAATTGTCTTGGTTTGTTAAAAAAAAAAAAAATTATAAACCTTAGATTATAGCATGAAAGTAGTTATCTCCATCCTTAAATATCGTTTAACCTTTTTCCGAATTTAAATCCGAAACTTTTTGTTTTTTCAGAAATCTTAACTGCTAATCAAACTTGCATGAACTTGGGCTTGTGTCGAAAATGACCAAGCATTTCTTTGTTTCTTACCTCCACTCTCATTTTGGAAGGAAGATTAACAATGTATGTGCCTCTGTCATTGCCACAGCCACGCGGTGCCAGCTAGATTTCTTTTTTCTCTTTTTGCCTTAAGAGACCTCGAAAACAATTTGCTTCATTTGAGGCTAGGTGTCAGGGAGGACCACTATGTGGTACGTAAATAAAATAAAAAATTAAAGTAATAACAGACCAAAGAATAGCAAAAAAAATATAAAATATTCACACCTGAATTGCATGGAATAAAAAAAAATATTAAATGGATATCGCATTTATCTGCATATTCAGACCAGTCGCTTGCATGATCAAACATGGGATCCACACTCTTGATTAAGAAAAACAAAGAAAACAACTGTTCACTCCTTGTATGATTAATGGTCAATGTCATAATATAATTAGTGAGTCATCAAAGCACAATTAACCAAGTTAGATCTTTGAAAAATTGGTTACAACTTACATATACCCCTCAAAATGCCTCTTATTAACGGGAGTTTTTGTACACACGTAGCATAAATGCCCAACAAATTAATTATTGAGCCACCTAGGCCTTACATCATAATCAAAATTAAATTATAGTTTACTCTTGGAGAATCTTCTAATAAAATCCTAAAGATTTTTCAACTCGTGTATGAAAACTACAGCGTAGGTTTGGGCCAGCACATACGTACAGTAAGAAGTAGCGTAATACCGTCTCTCAAAATTCAGTGGTGTATCCCATTAATCTTTGACCCTTTTTTTCTTTTTTTAATGTTTGTGTCAAATGTTTCTTGTAATATATTTGTCAATTTTTTTTATTGTAAGATATCTCTAATTAATACTCTAAGAAGTAATAGCTTGATAAGAAATGATATGTTAGAGAAAAATTAGCTGGGGGAATGATGATCTTATCTGGCTAAAAGAAGATAAGAAAAGAACAAGCTGGGGGATGTGTTATGCACATATTGGGAGAAGGGTGTATAATTATGTGATCCACAATATTATGAATGGTTAATTTTTGGTGGCAGGATTAGGGGGTCACATCAAAAATCACCTTAAAAATGTGACTAAATGTTGCTTTACATATTAAACCAATCAATAAATGATACATAAAACCCCATGATAGTCTAAAACCGACTGTTTCTCAATAAATGCAGACTACTTACAAATATGATAAGCTCAAAGGGAGATGGTGAATTCAATGGTCCGTGTGTGAAGACCGTGAACCTTGTAACTCTTCCTTTATAGGTCCTAGCTAACGCGTTTGATTTATTTACCTACCCTTAGAAAAGCAAGTACAATTGCAACCTCCCCATCTCTCTCGCTTCTCTTCTCTGTCCCTCGTTTCCCCTCAAATCTTCCCTACAATTATCTCCATCCTCCTTGGATCCCTCGCACCCTCTCTGCCTCTATTTTGCTTTCCTTGTATTATGGAGAAGATTCGAGAAAAGAAAAAGCCCCAAGAACAGAAACAAAGCAAAAACCAAAAAAACCTGCAAGCCAATAATAAGGCTCTTGTATGGGATTGTGGAAGCACGCTATATGACTCCTTTGAGCTTAAATCTTTTGAGCGTCAGCTTGATTCGGCAATCCATTCAAGAACCTTATCCATGCCTCACTTACCTGATCATCGAGTACTCCCTACTCCTCCACCACCTAAGAAACCTTCAAAGATTTCACGATCACTTAACAAATTCCTGAAATCCATGTTCAAATCTAAACAAAATTCCAACCCCATGTTTCGGGTTCAAGACCGATTGCACGATGAATACTACGTCATCTACGATAAGTCCGGAGCTCTTACAACCATTCCTGAAGTACCTGAGATTGATTTTGGAGGGTTTTCACCTGAGATTAATTCGTTGGTAAGAAGAACTGCTTCCGACAGGTTTACCGCCACCTCCATCGGTATTTCATGTGCTTAACACGCTACCTAGCTCGCTAGCTGTAGATCATATGAATATTAATTAGTTGTTGTCTAATATGTTCTAGACTTATGTGTTTATAACAGAATTTGATGTTTTAGTAGGCCTTTTTCTTTTCTTCTTTCTTTTTTTCCCCCTTTTTTTAGATCTTTTTGTCCCTGTTGCTTAAGAGTCTAGAATTTTGACCATTTCATGGTTTGAATAATCAATGAAGTTGCTCCTGAGGTCAATATTTTGTGATTAAGAAGTTTGAATAATTAATTAGGGAGTTTCAATTGATGTAGTTAATGGTGCAGAGTAAGCTCAAACTTATGAGACGCATCCCTCTGATTTTCATGGTCTTTTTTGAATGAAAAAACAAACCTAATTGCTTATAACTGTTTAAGACCGCCATGAGGCATTATTGACAATTGAAACAGGCCAGCTTAATTCTAAGGGTATCGTGTTAATTGCTACCATAAGCAAGTATTTTTGCTCTCAAATTGTCCCAACCACATCAAGAAGCTTCAAGGAGGATTCCAATATTAATTACGAATACAATGATAAATGATATTTGTGTACCATAATTACTTCATGTAATTTAATCAATTACATAAACTTTAGCTGAACAGATATATAGAAAGTGGTGTACAATAATGTAGTATTCCATGTTTTTCTTAGATCAATTTCAGTATAGTTTACCTAAAAGGTGTACATCTAGTAATCATTATTTCTTTGAAGCACAAAGCAAAGACGATAGTTTTTCATGGTGGAAAAATTCATCTCTAAAAGCCTTGGAAAAGTATACTTTGTCAAATTGATTGCAAATTGACTGAGGGAACCTCTGACCTCAAAATATAGTTTTTTTTTTTTTTTTTTTAATAATTAACGGGTAAAACCATGAACTTCTGAACCTCGCTTACTGGCTTAAAACCATCGATCGGTTTCATGAAATGCTGTCAGGGGACCCAAGACGTTCGTATAACATGAAACTCAGTAATTGTAAATGGGTGAGAAGCTGATGTATTTCAGTTGCCAACCATATTCACCCATCACCAGCCTAATTCCCATCCATATGCCACTTTTTTTTGTAACTACTCGGTCAAATTAAGAAGAAAAAATAAAATAGCACTGAAGCTACCCTGAACGGACGAACTAGTTTGGTGTTGAAAAATTGTACCATTTAAATACGTACGCTGCATTTATTAAAAAGTTTGTGAACCTGGGGAAGAAATGAATTGCCAACCCAGTTGCAAGTCTGTCTATATGAAACTTGATGGCAGCGTCTCTCGAACAGCGAGGTAGGCCATACATATAATTTCCAGGTAGGTGGATCAATTTATCACGGAGGGTCCTAACTTCTCATATGCTTTTTTTTAAGCATGTTGCTTTTGGTTGGATTTGAAATAAATGAAAATTTGAACCACTATTGAGCCCTGTGACCAAATTAGTATTAGTATTTCGCCTTTTTCCCATCAAATTCATGTTTTTCTTGAGTAAATTATAAATCAGTCTCTCTTGCTTCAAAAATTAATTATTTAATATTTTTATCTATTTCATGTTTTTAAAATTTTTTTAAATAAAAAAAGAAAAAAAAAGATAGATATTATGGAAAGGTTTATGAGAAAAGAAAACATTTTTTTAAATAAAATAATATTAAATTAAGCATAATCAGCACTAGCTAATGATTAAATAATTAATTTTTAAAGAAAAAAGACTAATATATTTATTTCTTAAAACTAGAGGGACTAATTTGTAGTTTAATCTGCTTTTTTGTTTTTTTTTTTTTTTGTTACAAAAAATACACACACTTATTACTAGTAATGATGATGGGCTAAAAGACGGCAAGTTGTTAAATGGGCTAATAATGGACCAGAAACTTAGGAAGATGTTTGGGCCTCCTTCGAATGAGGGGTGATCGCATTTGTGGCCCTGATGTGGTGGTGTCAAGGGTGCTTCTGGTCTCGTTAGCAATGGAAATTGGAGGCTTGTTTTGAAGGTCGCAATCTAGGGTCTAGGCAATTCAACGGACACAAGTAGCCCAATTTAGCAGGGAATTTGCTGATTTTATGCTTTTCGAGTTTGAGAAATTATTGCGTATATAAAAATTATACTCTTCATTTTCAAATAAAATATAAAACTCATGCATAGTTATTAGGATAAATAGTTTATATATGTGTGAGAAAAAGGAATACATTTCTGATTAATAATTTCTTTCAAGGCTTTCATAATTCTTCTAAATTCTTTTTATTTCTTTTTTCTAATCGCCGGAATGAATTCTTTCGAATCAATAGTGCCTGATGTGCCAGTAAGGATTCCTTCTCGTACCCCATAAGTAAATGCAAGAGCTAAAGGTTTGGTATAGGACATGAGAGGTGTTGTTATGGCTTATGTCATTGAATAACGTCGGTAATAGTAATTCTAATTTTAATTTTTATGGGCCATCGGGTGTATGATCTTTTTCTTCTTCTTTTTTTTTAATAAAAAGATGATTAATCCAAGGACTAACGTGACTTGATGCATCAAGTCCTCTGATGTGGAGAACCAGTTGCGGGGCTTGGAAAAAGCCACAGATATCTCACTGTTTCTATATGTACCATGTAAGAAAACTAACATCCTTGCTTTACCATAGTCTCTCTATGGTAAAGCAGTTTTTGCATAGGAAGACAGTGGTCTGAAACCAAAATGCAGCATGAATACAAGAACAACAAGTGAGGACAAATTTGTCAGGAATGCTTTTCTTTTATTTATTTATTACTGAAGGAGCCCACTGCCCACTAACTAAAACTTTCGATGGGTTAATTATAAATTATTAAGGAGTGGCTTTTTTGTTTCTAACTGAAAAAAGCCCACCAACCAAAACTTTTTTGTGAGTTAATTATAATTTAGTCTCTCTAGATTATTTAAAAAAATTAAAAAAATATATCAAAAGAATAATAATTACTATTCATTCTCTCTCAAATTACTAATAATTATATGACAATTTTGGTAATTTTAAACGATGATATTTTAGTGATTTTATTACTATTTTTTACGCATTTATATACAAATTTTGTATTACATTTTATTTTGATTTTCATATCTTTAAAAAATAGATATTATGAAAAAATTAAAGTAAAAAAAAGATATTTTTATATAAATTAATATTAAATCAAATATAATCAACAGTGATGGAGTATTAACTTGACTTTTCCTTCTAAATAAATTCAAAAAGAATGAAAACGGTTAGTGAAAAAATATAAAAACAACTTAAACTAGTTTTCCAAATTATTTTTTAATTTTTAAGATTAATAACAACATAGGATAAAGGGACTTGTATTGTCATTTAAAAAAAAAAAAAAAAGTTTAAAGCTCATCTGCTCGGGTTAGTGTGCTAGGACTTGCTTAAAAAACATATCTCCTTTTTAATAATAAAAAAAAATCCTTATGATCAGTATTTTTTTAAAATTTATTTTCAAAATATTTAATACCATACATTGAAAGTGCTCTTTAATAGTTTTGAGATACCTAAAAACTGTTGGAAAAAAAAAAAAAACAAAACAAAATCAGAAAATAAGACTCACATTTGTCAAGGAGAAAAAATGGCAAAAAGAGAGAGAGAAAAAAGAGCCTAGAGAAACTCAACAAGTATCCTCTCTGCTGACCCACACCTCTTTTCCTCGATACCTTTTCTACTGATTAGGTCACTCCAAAAGCTTCACCAAGCAGTCCACTCTTCTCCTTGAGTCTCAGCGCACCAATAGCCACCATGGATAACACTCAATGCCAAGAGGCACCACTCCATGTAGCCATTGTACCCACTCCAGGGATGGGTCATCTAATCCCACTCGTTGAGTTAGCCAAAAAACTCGTTCACCTACACAACTTCTTTGTTACCTTCATCATACCAAACGACGGGACATCCATGAAACCCCATAAACAACTCCTTCAACCCCTTCCCAAAACTATTTCCTCCATCTTTCTTCCTCCAGTCAACTTTGATGACCTTCCAGAGAACGTTTTAATGGAGACCCGGATCACACTCAGCTTGACTCGGTCTCTTGAGGCTTTGCGTGACTCTTTGAAGGCTTTGACTGAGTCAACTAGGGTTGTAGCTTTGGTTGTCGATCTCTTTGGTCCTGCTGCCTTCGAAATTGCTAAGGAGTTTGATGTTCTGCCATTTGTTTTCTTTCCTGCAAATGCTATGCTGTTGTCGTTGTCCTTTCACTTGCCTAAGCTTGATGAAACCTACTCTGGTGAGTATAAAGATATGATCGAACCGGTCAGACTCCCTGGTTGTGTTCCGGTTCAAGGGAGGGATCTTACTGCCCCGGTTCATGATAGGAAAGATGATGCCTACAAGTGGATTCTTCATATTTGTAAACTATACAATTTGGCTGCTGGGATTATGGTTAATAGCTTCATTGATTTGGAACCGGGTGCTTTTAAGGCTTTGATGGATGAGAATAACATTGGTAGGCCTCCAATTTACCCGGTCGGACCGCTAATACAGACCGGTTCAACCAGTGGGCTTTTGGGAGAATCTGATCAGTGTTTGAGTTGGTTAGATAGGCAGCCAAATGGGTCGGTGCTATTTGTCTCCTTTGGGAGCGGTGGAACATTGTCTCATGCTCAGTTAAACGAATTGGCCTTGGGTTTGGAAATGAGTGGCCAAAGATTTCTTTGGGTTGCTAGGAGTCCACGTGATAAGGCTGTCAATGCCACTTACTTTGGGATCCAAAGTACTGATGACCCTCTAGCCTTTTTGCCTGAAGGGTTCTTGGATAGGACCAAAGGGGTTGGTCTGGTGGTCCCTTCTTGGGCTCCTCAGATTCAAGTCTTGAGCCATGGTTCGACCGGAGGGTTCCTGACTCATTGTGGGTGGAACTCAATTTTGGAAAGTATAGTTAATGGCGTGCCCTTAATTGCATGGCCACTCTATGCAGAGCAAAAAATGAATTCGGTGTTGCTAGCAGATGATTTGAAGGTTGCGTTGAGGGTGAAAGTGGATGAGAAAGGGTTGGTGAGTAAAGAAGATATTGCAAATTATTCAAGGAGCATTTTTGAAGGAAGAGAAGGGAAATTGATAAGGAGCAAGATGAATGAACTTAAAGATGCTGCGTCAAGGGTTTTGAGTCAAGATGGGTCGTCTACACATTCTCTAGCAGAGGTGGCCAAAATCTGGAAGGACCATAAGAAGTAACAGGTTATGCTTGCAGCCTATATGTATATTTATGTTGAATTGTTAATTTGTACTATTACTTTTCAGCCATGCTTTACCAGCGTACACAACGTCTCCGAGGAGATTTTAGGACATTCAGAATAATGACAAGCACCGTGTTGGTTTTTGGGGATTCTATAAATTTTCCTCCTAAATTATAATTTTTTGTCAAAAGATTCCTCTCAACTGTTGGTTTTGTTTTTAATTTTCTAGTGTTTTGGACTTTCCATCTATCTCAATTAATGTAGTTAATGATTTAAGAGTGTAACTGAACAAACTTAATGAATCTCAAGAATGTAGTGCAAAAAAGGTCATTCTAAAACTCTCTGTATATGACAGAAAAATGAAAGTAACGACGAAAGCTGACAAAGAAAGGTGTTTTTGGGTTTACTGTTTACCTCAATGCTTTTTTTTCCCCGAACCATCCTTCTTTGAGTTAATTACAATTTAATTTTTATAGTTTATTAAAACTAATTAATTATAGTATTAAAGATAATTTAATAGTTTTTTGTTACCAGTGTTATCATCCTCAATTCTATAGTTATTTTCCTTTTAAAAATGTTTTCTTTTCTAATTAAATTCTTCATCTTATCTGCATCTTTTTAACCTTTTGTATTTATCAAAAAGAAAAAAAATTGAAAAATAACATAAAATTAACAAAAAACAATAAGTTATAAAACGAATTTAAAATTGTAGGGATTAATATATAATTTTTTAAAACATGAGGACTGTCTAATTTATTTTGTTAAACTATTAGGGACTAAATTATAATTGTTTCTCCATCTTTTTGGACGCTAAAACTTTACCGTTGCCCAAAAAGGCTAAAAAAATGGCTATATAGCTTGCCGATTATTATTATTATTATTATTATTATTATTATGTATCATTCTGTCGATCTCTATAAAATATTTATATACAAATTAATAAATAATTAAACTTATTTATAAGCATTAAAAGTGAAGAGATAATTAAAAATACATAAATTGTTGAATCAATTGCATCATCTTTTTAATTTGTAATGAGGATATAGAAAGTATATAAATATTCATATGAACATTCATTATTTCATAATAAATAATAATTTTTTTATATTTTTTTATCATCATTATCAATGAAGATAATTATGGTTGTAGTGATGATAAACAAAATAATAATAATAATTTTATTATCACCGTCAATAGAAGAGGAGGTGATGATGATGATGACGAGTTGTTGTGATAATGGTGATGATAATTGTGATAAAAATAATTGATACATAATAAATAAAAGTAATATATTGTTACTTTGAAAAACAAAACGTTCATTGTCATTCATTGTTTGTATTTTCATTTTCTATATAAGAATGAAATTATATTTAATTTTCATTTATATTCTTATTTTAATTTTAATTTTAATTTTTTCAACCAAATAACTATAAAGTGAAAATAAAATTTTTATTTTTATTTGTACAACTCCATTCCTGATAATCAAGCAATTCCTTATTGTATTATTTAAATCCTACCATTTGAGTTCTATTTGAATTACACCAAACCGACACTCCAAAAATACCTCTATAAAAAATATGCAGGGAAAAGTTTGGTTGCCAGGATGTTGTTAATAAATGGAGTTTGACAACATGACGTTGAAGCATGGTAAAGTGAGTTCGTTTCACGCGTTTGTTGGAAATAAATGGAAGTAGTTCAATCAGCTCATTGATGCATAATATTAAGTACATGATTTTGCTTCACTGTTGTTGCGAAACAATTTTTTTTCGTTGATGAATGTATCGTAATCACCATCTTATCATCTTTTTTATACCAAAATGCTATATTTCAGGAAGGATTTTTTAAGGAGTTAATTACATATTTACTGCTAACATCTAATTTTTGCCTTTTTTTATTTTTATTGCAAAAATACAAAAAAAAAATAATAATAAATAATAAATAAACAAGAAAAAAAAATGACAAGCATAAAAAGAAAAAAAAAGAAGAAAAGAAAAGGTTTAAAAAAATCAATTGAAACAACTAGTTTAGATTAGTTCTAGGCAGGGGTTAATTAAAAAAATAGAAAGTTTGAAAATAAAAAGAGAGACAATTGAGGGTATAATTAAAAAAAATTCAAAATCTTAGTCCTTTAATTAAAATAAAGAAAAAGGCATAATTGGAAGAAAATAAAAAGAAAAGTCTCAATTTATTGATATTTAAGGGTTCCATCAAAATTATGATAATTAGAATCGAACTTAAATTAGTGAGTTATATGAAATCAGGGACCAAATTGAATTTTGACAAAAAAGCTCAAAAATTACCTATAAAAACCCCTCATTTGCATTTTTTTTTTTGTTATAAGTTACTATTCATCTCCTTCACCAATTTTCTAACCAACCAACTCCCTCTCCTTGCACACCATCTCCCTTGCAATGCTCCCTTTCACTTGAAAAGCCTTTCCCTTCGTAAGTCTCCTCTCTCTCACCCTTACCTCACCAGCCCCTCACCCAAAACAACCCCTTATCTTCTTTCTTATATTCGGCTGCAACAACAAAAGAAATTGAGGGGGGGGGAGGTAACCACACTTCATCTTCGTCCTCTTCTACTTTCGACTAGGAGGACATACCTTTAACCTCTACCCAAACAGCCACCATAATAGCACCACTAAAATCTAGCTGCTCGAAATCCTCTCCTCTAGGCGAAGCCACACTAGCCACTACCCGTCTCCCCTTATCTTAGAGTTCTACTACTATTTAGAACCAGAAAAAAAAAGGATGAGAGGAACTAGCAGCTACCAGACCTCCCCTCACCAACATACTTGAACCACCTAAACACATAAACCCCTCCTCTTTTCCCTTTCCTCTCTATTCCAAAACGATTTCCTTTTTCATTCTCTCTCACCTAATCCTTCTTTTTTCCTTCTAAATTCCTTTATCTTTTTCTCTTTTCCCAAATTAACCACTTTTAAGGCCTCCACCAACACCACTCAACATTTCAAAAATGATGAAGAAGAAGAAGATATCAATATCGAATCCGAAACAAAAATCATTGATTATGATAGTGAAATTGATGAATCTATCAATACCGACGAGCTTGAAAAAGAAGCTAAATTCACCATAAAGAGTACTCTAGCTCCCTATTTTGCTAATTAACAATTGAATGTGAACTATGAGAAAAGAGAAACTATGAGAAAAGAAGAAAAAAACTACTTTTAAAGATACCTCTGGCCATCTCCTTTCAAAAAGTTACAATTATTGGATGGCCAAATATTGGTAAATCAGTGTTATTTAACCATCTTGTTAGGGTAATTTAACCATTGATGTCATGGCTTCTATTTCTTTTTAATTTAATTTAATAGGAATAGGGAAATTGTGGTGGATGAACCTAGGGTTACTCAGGATCGTTTGTACGGTAGATCTTTTTGGAGAGAATATGAATTTATGGTGGTGGATACTGGAGGTGTTGTCACTATATCAATATCACAAGCTAATGTTATGGAATATTTAGCTATCCCAATAATCATTGGCATGAATGGGATTTCACTTACCTTAAGGGAAGCAACAGTTGTTAGAATACCTTTGATGATTGAGAAACAAGCTACTACAGTTGTGGAAGAATCATCTGTCATTATATTCCTTATTGATGGCCAAGCAAGTTTAACAGCAGCTGACATGGAAATAGGAACTAGGCGTAAGAACTACTTAAAAAAAGGTGTCATCCTAACAGTGAACAAGTGTAAATATTCATGCAAATGAATCATGCAAGTATTAGAATTTTAGTTGTTGGGGTTCTCACCACTGCTTATTTCTATTATATCGGGTAAAGGAACTGGAGAGCTTCTTAATCTTGTGTGTCCTAGATTAGGAAAAGTTGAGGGTTTAAAAGATCTTGATGAATAAAAAAATTACATCCCTACTATTGTAATTATTGGTTGGCCAAATATTGGTAAAAGTAGAATTTTGAATGCATTGGTTGAAGAGGATAGAACGATTGTTAGTCCTGTCAGTGGCACTACTCATGATGCTATTGATACTAAATTTGTAGGACCAAATGGCCAAACGTTTTGGCTTGTTGTTACAGTTGACATCAAAAGGAGTAGCAATAGCTTCATCAAGTAGTGTGATGGAGGCTTTATTAGTGAATCAAGCATTTTGTGTCATTCATTGTTCTGATGTCGTTGCACTTGTCATTGAGGCCATGACTTATATCACAAAATAGAAAAAGCACAATAATTACTTTATGGCTAAGTCCTCTCAAGTTATAGTAACATTAGTAATTTTTCAAAGAAGTTAGAGATTTACAAAATTATTGTAAAATTTACAGATAATTTTGGCAAATTTATAGTAACTTTAGCAATAGCAATAATTTAAACTATTTACACCGACCTTAAAGGGACCTTCAATCACCTTAGCAGGACCCATGCAATATTTTGATAACAACCAACTGCTTTCTTTGCCGACTAGCTCGAATAATTAGTTATCATTAGAAACGAAAAGAGTAGACTCGATCCTATTTGAACTACATGACATTTTTAGGTAAAACGTCTCTAGTGATTGTACTCCTCTAAAATATGAATGAAATTATCATTTATATATTTATAGTTTAAATGTGGTTGAAGTGAATGTTATTGTAATTGCCATTATGAACAAACTAATTTGTTTTACATCCGTATTTTTTAATACAAAGTTTGTGCATGTTATTGTAATTTGATTGATTTAGCATGCTTAGTTGCAATGTGCCTAAACATGTAATAGTCATGCGTAATTCTTAGCATCCAATTTCATTATTTTTTGAAGTCTTTTTGCGTGTGTTACGTTAGTCGAGAAAACATGCCACCGGTGACTTCTTACTTATATGGACAAAACCACTAAGGGCCATAAAACCATTTTTCTCTAAAAACTATTTATGAAAACAAAGTTATTCATAAATTTTTTAGTTATGTAACAAAGTCGCCAATGATTCGATATCATTTTACACATGTTATGTTTGTTAAAAAAATGCCATTGGTGACTTCTTACCTATGTGGACGAAGCCGCTAGTGGCCCTAAAATCATTTTTCTTCAAAAATTATTTATGAAAATGAAGTTGTTGGTAGCTTTTCACTTACATGATAAAGGTGTCAACAATTTTGACATTATTTTGCATGTATTTTGTTTGTCGGAAGATAGGTCATTGTTGACTTCCCACTTATGTGGACAACGCCGTTAGTGGCTCCAAAATCATTTTTCTTTAAAAAATATTTATGCAAAACAAATTGTTAGTAACTTTTCACTTATTTGACAAAGCTATCGATGATTTTGACATCATTTTGTAAGTGTTCGTTCATCGAAAAATAGGCCCCCTAATAGTTTTTCACTTATGTGATGAAGCTATCAATGGTTTTTAAATCGGTTATCTCGCTCCTTACTTAAGCAAAAATGAAGTTACCGATGGCTTCTCACTTATGTGATCCAATTATCGGTAGCTTTCTATCCATAACTCGTAGTCGTTGGTGACTTCTCACTTTATGTGAGTGAAGTTATCGGTGACTCGTTGCTCATGTTAATAAAAGGCTATCTATCTTTAGAAACTCACATATCTATTGGTATAGGTCATGTTTGTTAAAAATTAACCAAAATTCTAACTTTCCTCATCTTTCCCTTTTGAGTGGAGGGTATTGGCCTCGGATATGCTCGAACTCCTAAATTACTCCGTTTTACATCCAAGCCTTCAAATTACTCTATCTTTATATCTTAACAAAATGAACTCACTTAAATAGATACAAAAGCATAACACAATAAAAAACCAAATTTTTATTTTCACTTGTATTTAATGCAACCTACTTCGGGTAAGACGGGATAATGGTGATATTATATCTTTTCTATACATAACCGACCCCTTATTTAGATATCTTTATAGACCAATGTGTTTAAGTTCATTTAGTTCTTTCCGATTAGTTAAGTGGCGACTCCTTGCTCACTCGCGATCTCATCCTCCCTCCTAAATCGATGTCGACATTTAGTTTATGAACTTTTATTTTTATTTTTTATCTTACTTTATTTTCATCATATTTTACGTGTCATGCTAATATATTCATGAATTTTTTAACTTGTTTCTAATTGAGTGTTTATATTTTTAATTTTTCTATTTGAGTTTCAATAATAGTTCAAAATCAATAGGTTTGGTTAGAATCTATTAGTTAATTTTTCGATGAATATCTTTACATGAGTCATACTTAAATAAGTAAAAAAATAAGAAAAACAATAAAAAAACTATTTTCTTTTTCATTTTAGTTTTGTATCAAAAATTAATTCATCCCACCTCCAACAATTACTTTGAAATTGATTATAATTTTTTTTTTAAATTAATGGTTTTAATTTTATTTTATTGTAAAAGAAGTTATTCTTAATGACAAGTTAGAATAAAAGCAACTAGCATCACCAATATAATACCATCACCACTGCCACTATAGTTACCACGACCATTATGTTTATTTTGCTTTTTCACTATCACTTTCTCCTTTAACATTATCATCATTATTATTAACTCCACCAATGCTACTACCATTATCTTCATAACTTTCGCATACATATTATGATTACCTCTACTTGTTATTACATTATTAAACCATTCATATCATATCATTAGCATCAATTATGAACACCAATAATAAAACAATAAAATTATCATCATAAAAAAGTTGGTATTACTATAATCCATATCTTCAATTTTAGCCTCATATCAATCATCATGTTGCTATTACTACCACCACTATTATGCATGTTGTTGTCGTGGTACCATCTTTTAATCATAATAACTAAATTATATAATATTATATTTTGAAATCATTAATATATTATAATATTCTATAAATTTAATCTATGTAAGAATATTTTTGTCATGCAACTTTCTTAAAAAAAAAAAATAGAAAACAAAAACAAGAAACAACTTTTTCTTTTTTAAAAATAGAAAACAAAAAAAGAAAATTATATTAAACGAACTCTAAAATTTTTCTTTTGTGTTATTTTCACTATCCACAAAACTTCATTATTATTTTTACACACATACATACGGATGGTATAAGGAATCCATTTATAGGATCTAGTCTATTTTCACTATATCTATATTTTCCTCCATTATTTTGTAAGCATTTGAAAACACAAAAACTCTGGATGTATACTAGGACCACTAGTTTAAGAAGAAGAAGGGCTATGATATTTCATCACCTTCGACACGAAGGCCTTTTGCTTAAGAAGAAGAAGGGGTATGAGGTTTACTACTCCTAACATTTAGATCTTTAACCTAAGAAAAAGAAGAAGGGTTGTAAAGCTCACCTTCGACACGAGGGCCTTCTACCGAGAATAAGAAGGATTAAGTTGCTCACTACCTTACTACGAGGACGTTTCTCCTATTGGACGGGGACAAGTAGATGCTACTTGTTTTGGATAAATACAAAGAGGTGTTCTTTTACAAGGAGAAACTTTCCCTCTATCATAGTTGTCGCTCGAATTGGGAACAACCCATCAAAATCGGGACAAACCCATCATTAAAGACTTGAAAAAGACATACGTATGTGTTTTTGGTCTTGTTGTATAAGTAAAAGACTCTAAGAATCTCTATAATCGATCATGAGAAGCATTGATTAACCCGAGAGTTCCACATAATATTTTTTAGAACTCCTCGAGATCATCCCCTAATGGCTTTAGAAGAGTAACTTCTTTTAGGGCTACGACCCTTTCTCGAGTTATAAATGCTAAGGCCTCCTTCAATTCTCCCCTCATTGGCAACACCTTGCCCCAAAGCCATAAAGATATGTAGTGTTGTTTTTGCCTATTGTTGTCCCTTAGCAACAACTAACTCCTTCGTCGTAGCAGATCTCTTTATCCTTAATAGCTTGCCTTAAGGAGAAACTAATATACTCAAATGACATTTTTTATCATATAATTCTTAACATATCCTCATAAGGTCCCACTTGGACGAACATCCGATAAAATGAGATTGTACATATTATAGGCATGATGACAAACCCTTATTAAGTCATCCCTAAGGGTGTTTTAGATGTTCTTACCTTATATAATAGGTTCGGATGAACGATCTCGGTCTCATCAATTGAAAAAGATAAATTGTGCATTTATTAAATAAGAGTAGGCAACCAATATTAGCTTTATCGATCAACATTAATTATAACACTCCCACTCTCCTAATTTGTGTTTTGTCAATATCAAAAGCATTTGTTCCCTTTATGGATGCTATATGCTTTTGAAATAAAGAAAATAGACGATTCTCTCTCTTTCTCTATTTAACTTGATTGGATTATCGGCTATATAAATAAATAAAAGAAGGCTTAAGGTTCTAGGTTCTAAATCTCTCGACCAACAATCATTATTTATCATTTTCTAAATACATGTATTACTATATTACAATCTATTGAGACCTTCATCTCCACTTAAATAGCTAATTTAGCTATAGGGTCCTCATATCCATGAATGTTGCTTGACCTCCATCTACTTGTCCAATTATACGAGCTACACTGGTCAAGAAAAACCATCTTATTCCTCATGGTCAACAGTTAGTCTCTTGATCCATATAATGTTAGAATATTTTTTTTTAAGCTTTAAAAATCTTGTTTTTAAGGTTAATGATATGGTTAGGAATAATAGTACTAGCCGGATTAGAAGAGAATAAAGTGTCGTTGATAATAGCTCCATTAAGCATGAAGATAATAGCTAAAATGCCAAGTGACAAATCTTGTTCTTAAGCCTAAAGTTGGAAAAAATTAGTAATAAGCAAATCAAGGTAAAAAGTGGCAAGGATTTTGGAGAAGGTAGACAATGGGTAGTAGCGAAGAGGAAGGCGATGGAAGATGGAGATATATAAAAGAGGTGATACTTGAGCTGCACTGGTATGTAGTGACACTCCTTAATTCCTCATACTTTCATTTTTTGCACTTTGTAAAATGATAAAATTATCCTGCATTAAATAATTTATTTCATCACACTCTTTCTTTTTATGCTTGAATGTCGACATAAAAAATGAGTAAATTATAAATCGGTTCTTTTACTTTTTCAAAATGAATTAAATAGTCCATATAGTTTCAAAAACTAATTAATTAACCTCTATAGTTTTAATCTATTTGTAACTTTTTTTTTTTTTTATGCTCTAGGTATTTTTTATCCTTTTCTCATCTGTCTCAATTTTATATTTTTATCGAGTTTTCAACAAGCTTCTTTCTAACTTTGCTCTAAAAAATGTTTATATATATATATATATTACTTTAATAACACTTGTTGACCATATAAATAAGATGTCAAATATTACATAAAAATAAGAGAATTTTTATAATGCTCAATGAGTGATTAATAATACTTGTTCATCACAATAAATTGAAAAGGAACAATAAATAAATAAATAAATAAATAAGTCACAAATAGATTTAAAAAATACAAGAACTAATTAATTAGTTTTTGAAATTATAAAGACTAATTAATTTATTTTAAAAGACTAAAGGGACTAAGTTATAATTTACTCGGTTTTTTTTTTGGTAGCACTACGAAGGAGAGATAGTGGGACAAAATAGAATATTTAATACAGAATATATATATATATATATATATATATAAGGGATTAAGGAGTGTGGCTGTCACATGGAGATTGCCAATATCACCTCCCATTATACAAGCTCTATTGAAGAGAAGTAGTCATAGCGAGCTTCACTTCACTTGGTTAGGAACAAGATTGATAGGTTTGGAGCAAAAATATATGTAAAAGTTTCTTTTCGATAGCTTATTGGCTAATTCCAAGAGAGGAGATATATGACTATATCCTAACCAAGGAAACATTAGAACACGAATGCTGACAGCCCCATTCTTGGAATTCATGATGAATCTTTTGTGTGTTAGAATGTGAGAGATCACTTGGAGATTTATAATACAAGGAGAAAAGTTTATAAAAGAAATCAAGAACATTAAGCGGGGCTCCAATTCATGTCCACCTAATTCACAATCCATGTTTTCCATTCCTTCATGGCCACAGCTAACAGGAAACACATTAAAAAGATAACGTGGTTGCTTTTGTCCATACACCATACAATTTAGATTCCTTGAGGACCCATCCCCTCTCGAGGCATGTAGTACGTACTGTCTAGTGTCTGCATTAATTATTTCCCACACCACAAGACTAGAGCAATTTAACGAAATTTTTTCTCTGGGATTTGTTTGACGAATTGACGCAAAAATGGGGTTTTCAATCTTCCGTTCTCATTCGGACTATATTGGGCCTTGGGTGTTTTGGACAGATATTTATCTACTTTCCCACCCAAGCCTGCAATCTACTGGGCCTAGCAAAACCTCTCCAAGAGCAAATCATATGCTTCGGTAACCTCTGACTTCAGAGAACTCGCGCATGTTCTGTGTACAGGCCACAGACATGGAGAAATCGGTGGCAACACTAGACAAAGGCACAACATGCACTTCATGGAACTACTGTGGCCAAAGACTAGCCACCGGTTCTGTTAATGGGATTCTCTCAATCTTCGATTCACCTGACCCAGCTTCCTCTTCCTTCACCACAACCTCCAAGATTAGGGTTAGTTAGTTCACTCCCTATTTTTTGTGTCAAAATTCGTTAATGGGTTCCTAATTTTAGCTAACTTGTTATGTTTTTATAATTGCTTAGGTACATGAAGGTGGGATTGTCAAAATTGTTTGGGTCTCACCAGAGTATGGTGATGCAGTGGCTTGTATTTGTGGAGATGGGAGTTTGTCTTTGTGGGAGGAGATTGTTGAAGGTATTAAAAGGTTCTTATGGTTTCTCAACTATAAAGGGGTTTTTATTTTATAGTGCAGATTGAGATTGATTTTGTTTTTAAGTTTGATTTTAAAAAAAAAAAATTGGAGATAAGTTTGTTAGAATTGTTTTCGGTTTTTTGAAGATAGTGTTCTTTATTAGTGTTTTGGGTTTTGCTTGTTTTTTAACTGTTTAGATGGACAACTTCTTCAATGGAAGCTTTGTAAAAGTTTTCAAAGCAAGGAAAGTAAAGCGTTAGACGTGCAATTCGGAGTGTTCCCGACAAGTTTGAAAATGGTGAGCTCTTGAAACTGTTGACGTTATTGATGCAACTGAATAATCATGGCATTGAAGCAGTAGATGTTATAGGGAACCTGCATTCCTTATGCTTGTTGAAGGTGTTTTTGGAAGTAGGCCAAGTCTTTTTTAACAAACAATTGTGGCATATAAAGCTCTTTTAGCTAGAAAGCAATATCCAAGTATCAACTGATCTGATTATGGTCATCATATAACAGAAAATATATTGCTTGATTAAGTGCAGAAGGTATTGTTTTTATTTCCATTATAAAGGAAATAGCCATCTTAGATCTCCGGGGAGGATGTATTTTTATTTTTGTTCCTTCAGTTTCTAGTTTTTTCCATAATAGCATTTGGGAAATATGTGGCATTAGCATATCAAGTTTCCTGCCCAAAATTTTAATTTACACGTTCAACTTCAATTTATAATTATGTGTGTGTAGTTTACAGGTTGTGGCATATTCAGATGGTCATGTGAAAGTCTATGAGCTTTTGGATCCCTTAGAGTTGAAGAATTGGCAGCTTCAGGTATTCCTTCTCACATATGTTTTCTCATTGATGCTCGTAACTGCTTAAAACCACAACTTCTCTCTTATTCGTTTTCTTATTCTCGTCCCTTTTCTTTTGAGCAGGCTGAATTTCAGAATGTGATTGATTCAGTTTCTACATTTGGGAAGGCTTCATGCTTTTCTGCATCTATTTCTTGGAATCTACAGCGGAATGAAAGCCAGAAACCAAGCTTTGTTATGGGTTTCAACTCAGATACACCACAACTGAACAGTTCTAAGGTACATGTATTATGCATTTCATGGAAGCTATATTCTTTTCAATTCATGCCAGTTTGATTGGAACTATGCTAATAAAATTTAAGAATGCCACTTTCCATACAATAACAACAAAAACCTTTGTGAATCAACAACTCCATTGAACATGAGCCTGTTATTAAATGTAATATTAGTCAGGCAAGTTTACTTCTATTGTATGCTAGAAAGTTTTTCCTTTCTCTACTTTGCTGAGTAATTTCCTGAATGACTAAGAAATCAGCTGACGGGCCATCGTATTGGCCAAGCTAATTGAATGTTATATTTCCATAGGTGTGGGAGTTTGATCAGGCCCATCACCGATGGCTTCCAGTTGCCGAGTTAGCATTGCCTGTGGACAAAAGTGATCAGGTTTTTGCCGTTGCATGGGCACCAAACATTGGCCGGTAAGGTATTGTTATTTGATTAACAAAATGAATTTCCATTCTGTGGACAAATGGCAGGAAGCCAGAAACTGTTTATGCAGTTTGCTTCGAGATGGAATCTCTGAACAATCTCTAAATCTAGAGGACCTCTCTGTAGGATTTAAACTCAGACGAGGTTACAGCAATCTGTCTGAGAAAAGAACTCATAGATCTTGTAGGATTTCAATAAAAATTTCCATTTAAGACTTGAAAAAAAGAAGAAAAAATACAAATGATGGCATAGAAGAGAAAAATGTAGGATTGAGATCTGAGCAGGACTGGGTTTAAAATACTGACATGAAGGAAATCAAACCCAAATCATTGCCATCTCGTCATTAGTACAGCAAGTATTCTAGCGGACACTATCTGGAATGCTAATCAACAAAGAAATGTGGCAGGTGCAAACCATGGAAACCTAGGGTTTTGAACGAATTTGCTTCATGCTGTCACTGCCTTTGACTCCTGCTTTGTTAATAACATATGTATACTGGTCCTGTTTGTTTGAAAGATACTAAACTGGTCTTGTATTTCTGTGCAGGGCACATGAGTTAATAGCTGTTGCTACTCGCAAAGGTATTACAATATGGCATGTTGGATTGAACCCTGACCTGGATGGAATGCTTTCAGTGGAAAAAGTTGCATTGCTTTCTGGATATGAGGGTGAGGTATATATGCCAACAATCGAACCCTTATTTATCTTTATTTTTCAATCTGCGAAAGATGGTACATGCATCATATGAAAAGAGATTTCGTGGTACTTTTATATCATTCTGATTAATAATCGAATTATCAAATGTAATAATATTGATGAGATTTAACTGGACCATTGGAGTAAGATGAATTTGGGATGTTTGCCAAGACAGGTGGATAAATTACATGTAGCAAGGAGCTGCCAGGATGCATTTTGAATTTTTTTTTTTTTTTAATGCTTTAGTATAGTTTTCTTTTGTTGAAAAGGGAAGTAGTAGATACCTGAATATTATGTTCCTTTGCAATTAGGTGTGGCAGATAGAATGGGACATGAGTGGAATGACCTTAGCAACCTCCGGAACTGATGGGATGGTAAGACTGTGGCAATCCAACTTGAATGGGGTTTGGCATGAACAGGCTGCATTTGAACCCACATCCTAGCCCCTGGCATCATTGCTTTGTAGTTTTTGCTTGTTTCGGTTGCAATTTTCTCCTGTGTCATCTACCAGGAACCGCTGTTTCCAATGTCAACTTTCCTCGTTCTGTTTCTGTTAAATCTGTGTTATTATCAGAGGGCTTGGAACGATCATGACCGTCTGACCTCTCATGCTCCATCCATCATTTTTCAAGTTAGTGCTTCAAAACGATTTTAGCGTTATAGAATTTATATTTCTGGCTTAAATTTTTACCATTGTATTCCTGGAGTCCAAAAATGGTTTGTGTCGTACTGGAATCCGGAAACAATCATTTTCTCAAGGACCAGTTATTTTTTATGCATTTCATACGAGGGACGCGTTTTATGCAGACCAATCATAAAATTAATAATGATAATAATTAAAAAAAAAATCAGAATGTTATCTTACTGTAGTTCAAGACTCATTTACACCGTTACAAGTACTGTTGGAGATTGTTCACCGGAGGCATAAAACTACGTTGTACGTCATTTGGATGAAAAATTTCTTTTAATGTTTTGACTTTAGTCTTTGGTTTTTGAGGTCTGTATACACTGATTTTTGAATTTCTTTGTTTTAAATTTTGGTCCCTGGATGTTGAGTGAGGAGAGAGAAGCGGCAAAATATATATAGACAGAAAACTTTAACTAGCTTCGTTCTAGCAATGAAAACCTCCAGCATTGGTGTCCAATGAGTTTGTATTAGAAAGAAGAGTGTATTGATACCGGTTATCGGTACTGAAATGGTATGATGTAAGAGGAGATTGAAGTTTGAAAATATAAATAGGTTTTGGAATTTGATTTGATTTTTTTATATATAATTAAAATGGTTGGTTAAAATGAGCTTTGAGCTTGAAAATAGGTGTTTAGGGGCTTTTTGAATGATTATAAGGTAGTTTCGGTGAAAATAGGTTTTTAGGGTTTTTCCAATGATTATAACGTAGTTTTGGTGAAAGATTTGGGTTTCCAAGATCCAAACTAGCTACCCTTGATTTTCTAACGGCCGTTTGATCTTACAAAGTTGCAGATTGCGAATGCTCGTCTCCAGTTCTTTCATTCATATATAATTTTCCTTAAAAAATTATTAATTTTAAAGTTCTATCAAAATTATTGGATATGGTTTTTTTTTTTTTTTGAAAAAAAATAATTTTAAGCACATAAATCAATTTTTTTATGTAAAAAAATTTGTTTTGTTTTGTCCAAGTGAATAAATCGAACTAGTTTTTTTTTTGGCGCTTTTATATAATAAAATATAAAAATAGGTTAATATCTCGATTCTAGGTTAAATTTAATTTTTTAATAATATAAAGTTTTGTTCTTACCGTTTTTTTGAAATATAATATGAATAACGGAAAAATTATTATATTCATCAAATTATAGAAATAAAAAATAAAAGATAAAAATAATACAACATTACATGTTGCATGGATTAAAAAATAATAACGATTGAGTTATGCATTCTATAGTATTTACTGGTTGAAAAAATTTTCAATAAAAAGATTAGTACTGATTTCTTAAATTAATTTATACAATTGATGATCATAAATTGCTCGAAATATAAAAAATATTTGAAAAAAGTTGCAAGCGTCTAATTGAATTTTGACACAAACATTTTATAAATTATATAAGCTAATATATTTTTTTGTATTATCATGGTTTAATATATGATTTTTTTTATCTATTTTTGTTTCTTGATTTATTGATTCAAACTTAAATATAAAATGCACACATGATATAAAATGCTACAATATACATACGAAATTAAAAAATTTCTGCAATTAATATTGATTGATTTTAATTTTGTATGTTTAAATTTTTAGAATTAATTAAAATGTCAAAATAAATTTATAATTCACTGACAACAGGCGGGATAGAAACAAGTTTTTAGCAAAATCAATATAGGTGAAATATGCCAAACCTCCCTCAACTCTAGTTAATTTAAAAATCAGTTTTTAAACTTTTAATTTTGAATTTAGTTTTTTCCAAATTTTTTTTTGTTTTTTTTTTTTAGATTCTGTTCATTTTATCATTTTCATCTATCTCTCATTTCTTCAAAAAAAATAAATTCTTGATATTTTGAGTTCAAATTTTGCCTACAAGCTAGAAAAATTCAATCTATTTAAAAAAAAAATTCTAAATTTTTTTCAAAAAAACATTATTTTATTTTATTTTATTTTTAAAATATTAAAAATGTAAAAAATTTAAAAAGAATCCAGAATTATTCTAATTGTTTTTTGAGAAATTCTAAATAAATCTTAGTAAATAATTTTTATTATGAGTTTATTTACGTGGCTGTTATTTTTTATTAAAAAAAAAAACTAAAAGATAGACTATATCTTTAAAAAAAAGTAAGGTGTCATTTGATTATAAAGAATGAAAGGTCCTGAATGGGAATGCTGGAATAGAAATAAAAATTAAGAAATCGAATGACATTTGTATTCTCATACTGTGTTTGGAATATTAATGAGAAATCGAAATGCAATTTAAATTTTTTAATACTTAATTTGTTATACAAATAAAAATAATTATTAAAAAATAATTTTATCAAACTATAATAGTTGTAAAAATAATAAAAGTGATGAAAGTGATAGTGGTTATGACAATGATGATGGTGGTAGTGGTTGTGATAGTGGTGGTGATGATGGTTGTAGTGGTAATAAAAATAGTTAATAGATAATAAATAAATAAAATATATTATTATTTTGAAAAAAAAAATTCATTCTCATTTCTTATTTTTGATTCCCACATCTTATGTGGAAATGAAATTATGTTTAAATTTTCATTCCTATTTTCACTCTTCATTCCCATTTCCATTTCTACTTTATTCCTTCTAACCAAAAAACTACAACGTGGGAATAAAACTTTCATTCTCATTCCCACCACTCTATTCACGATTACAAACAATACCTAAAGTTAAAAAAAGATTAAACTCAAAATTAAAAGTTCAAAACAATTTTTTTAAAAAGACTAAATTTTAGAAATAATTGGACTCACTTAGCTATCAAAATATGATAAATTAAGTTGGCAATGGTACGAATGGGAAGAAATAAATAGTTGAACTCGCATATAGCCTTGGTGGATAGGATGGTGTTGACCCATAGACATGGTAACGGTTCTCGAACCGTCGGTTTCGATTTAGGAATCGTCGGTTAAGGTTCCACCAAAGAGTAGAACATGAACCAAACTTTCTATTGATGGTTACGATTCCGGTTTGGAATCGTAAAACTACGATTCCAAACTCGTTTGGAACCAACGGTTCAACAATTTTTTTATTAAATGAAAAAATAAAAAAAAATTGAATATTTTTTCTCAAGTATAAATCAAACATTAATATTGAAACGAAAAAACTTCTTTTTTGCATAATGTATAAAACATTATAATATTTTTTACATTGTAATGTATTTCTCACAATAAATCAAAAGGAAAAAAGAAATAAATAAAAAAGAGCTTGAACTTAATTTTTGTAAACACTATAAAAATTAAGCTTCCTTCGTATCCTCTTGGGGTTTAGAGAAATCAAAGCTTACGTAGTTCTCTTTTACATTTCAAATTATCCCTTTAAAAATTACACCTATGTTACTATGTAGCTGCGCCTAGTTGCTTTCTTGATCGAAGGTTTCGGCTTCGAAGTTTCGTCGTTATGCCGTCGGTGTTAGATCCACACTTTCTTCATTGAAATCATATTGTTTTTGTTCTTGTGTTCTCTTGTCGGCTCTTATCCAATCATTTACACATACTTGGGCTTTAAGTGACTCGGGAGCCAATTGTGATCGCCTATCATTTAAAATATTACCTCCGAGCTAAATGCTCTTTCAACGGTCATTGTTGAAGTCGGCACGACAAGTATTAGTTTAGCTATTATGGACGGGACTAGAAAGGTGCTTGCATGTCTTTTTCACCAATCAATTATTTGAAAATCTACACCTGCATTGCTATCACCAAACTCGGACACGGTTGTTAGATAAATATCAAGCTCGGAAGTGGAGCTCGATGATCCTTTTGGCCTTTTTGTCCTTTCTATGGCCATAAGATAACGAGCTCTAACACGTTGGCTACTTGATGATGATTGTGGCATAAGTGGTAAAGAGGAACTAACATGTTGATCACCCACGATTAAAGACATTTCAATATATAAATTTCTAACTCGATTTATAATAGAAGTAGTTTCTAATTCTATATTTTTATCAAATAATTGTAAATACTCATAGTAAGTATTCAAAACAGCGAGAAAGACCTTCAATTTCAAATCTAGAATCAAAGACTAAAGCAACAAGATAAATAGGTGAAATTGTTTCATGATAACTTAACCATTTTTTTTTCATTATTTGAACAAGCATCATGTAAAGTTGGCATACCTTGTTTTACATGATTAAAAGCTTCAACAATATTAATTGCTTCAATCATAAATAAATGTGAAGGTGGTTGATAAACGGCACTGAAAGTGTATGTTACATTGTTAAAAACACTTAAAAGTTCTAAAAGTGGTTCGTAAATATCAAAATCATTTTGACAAATAAAAACATAATCAATATTTTTTGAAAAAAATGAGTATAATAAATCTCGATATTCAAATAATCGCTCTAAGTAAGTCATAAGTTGAATTCTAACGAGTTGGAACATCTTTTGAAAATCGTCTTGGTTTTTTGTTTCTTTCTTTGCAAAACTTTCCCCATGATTTCATCTTTTGGGGATGCGCCCATAAATATTTAGCAAGAGCTTTAATTTGCCTAACAATATCTTTAAGATATTCTAAACCAAATTGCACACATAAATTTAAAACATGACATATACATCCAATATGAAAAACCTTACGTCCAAGATGGGGTTGACAAAGTTCTTTTAAAGAGTCTATTGAAGCATCATTAGAACTAGCATTATAAAAAGAAATTGAAAATATTTTTAAAGGTAAAACATATTCATCTAAAATCCTTTTTAATATCTTATATATATTTTGAGCGGTATATTTATCATCAAAAACTCTATATGCAAGAAGATGTTTTTGCATGTGCCATTCATTATCAATCCAATGACAAGTTACACCCATAAAGGAGTGAGTTTGCCATTGATCGGACCATATATCAGAACATATAGAAACACGACCATTCAAATTTGCAAATAATACGAGTTAATTCTTTTTTTTTTTTTATCTCTATACAATTTTATAAGCTGTTTTTTTTTAAAGAATGTCTTTCAACTTGTTTGAAAGTAGGATTCAAAGTGTTAGAACAATAATCATTAAAACCCATTTTTTGACCAAAACTAAAAGATAGATGATCAATACATATCATTTTAGCTATTTCTTCTTTATTTTTTTTATTAGTATACTTAAATAAAGAGGAAGATTGAGAAGCAAACCCGGATATTTGTGTCCGATGTTTATCATTACCAAGTATAGATAGATGCTTTTTCTCCAAGTAGGTTTTGAATGTTCCATAACCACTTCCTTATTTGAATGTGTATTGCTTGTTGCGGTAGTTGCAAATCACGGTAAAAACATCTTTTTCTAAAGGAACTTTTGAGAAATGAATTTTGAAGATGTTGGATGATCTAGGTGTAAAATTTGATTGTTGTTGTTGCTCCCGTGCTCGATTTTGATTGGTAGTATTACTTTGTTGTGATGGCATATGTGAACTTGAACTTGTCATTTTTTGTAGTATAAAACAATAGAAATATAAAAAATTTAAGAAGTATTTGGAGTATAAAAAATATTGTAAGACAAGTATTGAGAATTCTAGACTTAAGAGTTTAAGAGATTGAGAGAGAATGAGAGATTGAGTTGTGAGGAGAATGAAAAAATTGAGAGTGTATTTATAGAAAAAAAAAGAGGTCACAAATGTGACCGTTTGTGACACACACACACACACACATATATATATATTATTATATTATTATATTATTATATTATTATATTATATGTATATATTAATATATTAAGCCCAAAAATTAAAATTTATTAGGCTTAATTTTTTTTTCATTTTTCAATCCAATAGCTACTTGTCCAGCCCATCTAAAATTGGTTTTTTTATTTAAAATTTTTTAATTTTTTTCGACCTAACCCAAATTTATTAGGACGGATGTGGAACCGTCGGTTCTACGATTAACCGTCGGTTTAGAATCGTCGTGATACCTTAAACCATAACCAACCCGTAGATAATCGGTTACGATCTGATTTGATCAAAATTATGGTTTTATCAATTCTAATTTGATTTTTTAACGATTTAATTTCGATTCGATTTATGATTCGAACCGAACCATTACCATGTCAACAGGTAATAAAAGTAGTTACCATGTCCCATACAACTTGAGAAGCGGTTTGACCGATTGAGGGACAATCTTGTGATTATAAGTGCCCTTTCTTATTTTATTTATTGTTTAGTTTTTTTGTCTGCAAAGTGCAATCGCTTTTCGAGTCTAAACAATTAGCAACTTGACAACTACGTGTCCCCTACATGTTCACCGAATCGTGGGCGCCAGGCTGTATCATAATTTTTGAATCTTTTCAGTGCGTCCAAACCATCTGGACATACTTTCATCATAAAAGTTAGTCCAAATTTTGGTGTCTTGGCCGCTGCTTGTGCGAAATTTTAAAATACTCAAAAAAAATAATTAATATAAGTTAGTGGGTATTGTTGAATTCATCAAATGCTTTGTTATTTTATCAATTTTTATTATAAATTACTAATAAATTTGTACATCTTATTATTATTTAGTTACTAACTTGATATGATGGTAATATATTGATAATTTATAGTAAATATTTATTAGTAATATCTTAAGTTATTTCATAAAGGATATGTATATAAAATCTAATTCATAAAAAATGATAAAACAAATTTTCACCTAAACTCAGATTTTTTATTTTATTTTATTTTTATGTCTATTTTTTTCTTATGAAGTAAATTACATTAATTACTATATCAGTAATATAAAATTTATACTTAGACATTAATTCAACCTTGGACATAAGAAGGTGTTGTTTGATAATGAAAAAATAAACTCAAAAAATTTTGCACGTATTATTTGATAATAAAGAATGAAATAGTAAAAATATAAATGAAAATTTGATTTTTATTTTAGAAATATTTAGTTAAAATGAATAAAATAAAAATAAAAATGATAGAAATAAGAATAAAAATTATACATTATTTCATTTTTATTGTGGAAGGTAAAAATAAAAAATGAGAATGAGATTTTTTTTAACGCAAGGATATAATTGTCAACCACAAATTTTGACTCCTGACAAGGACATTGACGCAAGGCAAAGTTCTTGTCCAGTGTCCTCCCATATGCATATGCAACCTGCCCTACCAAAAGTACAAGCAACATAGGAACTACCGGGACGCACCAATCACCATGGCCAAGCCTTGCACAAAAGTGTGTGTCACTGGAGGTTCTGGATATATTGGTTCCTGGCTCGTCAATAAGCTGTTGGAGAAAGGCTATACTGTCCATGCAACATTGAGAAACTTGGGTCTATCTTCCGTTTCTCTCTCTGTTTTTTTTTTTTTTAATTTTTTGTTTTTGATTTTGTGTTAACATAGATCTCTTACAAGTTTTTTTTTTGAATAGCAGAGGACAAATCCATTGTAGGCTTACTCAGGTCCCTACCAAACGCCGACACTAAATTAGTCCTGTTCCAAGCTGACATATACAATCCCAATGATTTTGATGAAGCAATTCAAGGTTGTGAATTTATTTTCCATGTTGCTACTCCGATGCAACATGATCCCAAAAGCTCTCAGGTCAGCCCCTCTCTTGATTTGACTTGTGGTAAGGATTTAAATTATGTGCAATTAAAATATAATTTTGAAAGATGAAAAACAGTACAAGGATAGATTGGAAGCAACGGTTGCTGGAGTGAGGAGCATAGCTGATTCTTGCATCAAATCAAAAACTGTTAAGCGTCTCATCTATACTTCATCTGTGATGGCGTCATCACCATTGAATGAAGATGGAAGTGGGTATAAATCTTGCATGGATGAATCCTGTTGGACTCCTCGTGATCTCTCACTCACTTATGCCAATGATTATGTATTGGTATCTGTCCTATCTTACCCTGAATTACCACAAACTATGACACTGCTTTGTTTTTCAGTTTTCCCTTAAGGGACATGGCATGGTTCTTTCTTCTCAAAAATCACAAACAATTTTGAAATCTTACTGGCTCTTTTTTCCTTCATAGGAATATACAAGGGCAAAAACACTAGCAGAGAAAGAGGCTTTGAGTTATAATGCAATTGGGGATGCTAAACTTGAAGTGGCGACTCTTCTTTGTAGTCTAGTGGGAGGGGAGACTATTCTTTCCCGTCTGCCTTTGAGTGTCCAAGTGATTTTTTCACAGATTTCTGGCAACATATTCGGTTACTATCAAGGGTTGAAGTTCATGGAAGAAGTTTTGGGTTCAGTACCTCTTGTTCACGTTGATGATGTTTGTGAAGCACATATATTTTGCATGGAAAAGGAATCAATGAAAGGAAGATTCCTCTGTTCAGCTGCTGATCCAACCGTCAGAGAAATTAAAACCCACATTGAAGAAAATCATCCAGAATTCGAGATAGATGAAAAGTAAGAATTCTTCTCTAATTTGATCTTAACATCTATCTGTGCTAAATAAATTGAATGACTACTGATTTTGATTCAAAATCCTTTCTTAAGTCAAACCTTAACTTTTTCTTTTTTCCTTACGAAGAGAGAAGTCCGAACCCGGTCTTTTTAGGAGACAGTACTGAATGTGGATCCTAGTTTAGATATATGTTCATTAGCAGTAACATCCATTAAAAAACTCATCCCACCTTTTTTTATAAACTTATCTCGTTTGATTCTGCTTAGATTCAACATGCGATTTCCTTAGAATCATCGGGAAAATCATCAACCGGTCGGTAAAAATTGTCGCTGAAAGTTGTTACAAGGATTTAGTACTACTATGTGTGACATTCTCAAGCCAATACAGGCTTGTCCAACTTATGACATAGTTCTGGGAAAAATAAAGATATTCCATATTTTCTATTGTGGTTTTGCTAATAGCAATGACTGAATTTTCATTTTAGTTTCAGGGAAGAACCAGAGATCAGAGGAATCAAATGTGATTCATCAAAGCTGACGAAGATGGGCTTCGAGTATAAGTACGACATGAGGCAGATCATTGATGATAGCTTGGAATGTGGAAAAAGACTAGGAGCTCTCCAGTCAGTCAATCAAATTGAGAAAAACACATTATAAAATTGTGTATTATTTCCTTTATTGAGTCTATAATGTTTTCTAGCAACTCTCAACAATATGTAAAACAAAGTATTAGTATATATTTGTAGCTTTGTGTGTTCGTCCAACTATTAATTCTGCGGTTTGATGTGGCAATTTTTCTTATTAATCGATTGATTGGTTTGACAACAGTCACGAGCTAGACTTTGAGAGTTGTTTGTCTAGTTTGAATGTGCTCTCCCACTCCGCTATAAAAAAGCAAAGTACTCAATCAATATATATATATAATAGTTGGAATGCTCTCCCACTCCGCTATAAAAAATCAGAGTTGTTTTTTTATAGCGGAGTGGAAAGCATTCAAACTAGACAAACAACCCTACTTTTTTTTTATAGCGGAGTTGGAGAGCATTCAAACTATTATATATATATTTGTGCGCCAAATTGTAAAAATAGAAAATTACAATTTTCGTGGCTATTTTTTGATTTTTTTTCTATTTTACTATTCAATTGGTAAATTGTTTATTTCAATATCTAAGTTTTGATTTTTTTTTTTTTTCTGTTTGAATGCTTTCAATTTTATGAGAATATAAAGATTAATGTGTTTGGAATAAACATAGAAAAGCGAAGTAATATATATATATATATATATATATATATATATATATATATATATATATATAAAGAAAAAAATTGAAAACATCAAAGTTGGTTGTTTGCACATCAGTGTTGAACATATCCAGCAAACCCCTTTAATATTTTCCCCAGCAAAACCCCTTCAATTTTCTGCTGGGGAAAACGACTGGCTTTAGTGTTTTTAATTTTTATTTTTTCAATCACTTAAAGTTATTTAATTCAGTTATTATTTTTTTTAATTACTCTATTTTTTTCACATGTCAGCTAAAATTGTCACGTAATAGTTAAAAGAATACTACATATAGCTCATTCCGAGTCAGTATTTTATATTCTTAAATGATTGTAGGCTCTCAAACATAAATAATAATAATAATAACAATCAAAACTTGAATATTAAAATAGAAGAATTTACCAATTTATCATTGAAAAGAAAAAACCAAAAAAAACAAAAACAAAAACAAAAAAATTGGACATTAAAATTGTAGTTTTTTCTTGTAAAAACCCCTAAACATGACTAAAAAAAACACCACTGAATTAAAAAAATATCTAATTTTGCTCTTTAAGTAATATGATTTTTTTTAAAAAAAAATTGTCCAATTTTTTAGGATTTTATTAAAAAATTAATAGAAAATACCTTTAAAACCCTCTCTTTTCTCTATTAATAAACATGTTTTTTTAAATTGGTAGAGAAAATGACAAAAATTGGAAGATTTTTATAGATTTTTTTTGTTAATTTTTTAATGAAACTCTACCGGAAGGAGCAAATTCAAAAAATCATATTGTTTAGTGAGTTAAAATAAAAAAGATAGTTCAGAAGAATATTTGATTTTTCACTGAAGTTAAGGAAGATATTTTTACAATTTAACCTTTTTTTGTTTTTTTTTCCTAATTTGCAAATCATTTCCCTCAACTACTGACACATAAAGATGGATAATCTATTAGACCATTACTTAAGTTAGTAATGTTTTTTATGTTTATCCGAGCGATTTCAAATTCTGCTCACAATTAGGTTAGGAATCAAACCTCTGGTATGTGCATAGTCGAGTTTTATGAGGACCTGCTGATAAACCCAAAGAAGATGACCAATTCATGACTTGACGAAGATAGATTTGGATTTATACAAATATTTTGATCAAAATTCAAGCACTTAATATGTCCCTATATCGTGATTTTTTTTTAAATTTTTTTATTATTGAAGGTTAAGAAAATAATATAATTGATACATACTAAAGGTCAAAAGCTAATTGAATTCAATGCCTTCAGGGTCTAGACTATCTGTTTATCTATAAGATTTTGTCTGTAAGTTAGATTTTATGATGTGCAAGAGATCAAGAAAAGCATAGTTTACTCAAGATTTCTGTCAGCATTGGTGAGGTTATTGGTCCGAAATTTGTGTATAAGTCATGGATTAGACTTATATATAATCTATTTTATTTTATAGTTGAGAAAAATCAGGTGATAGATCGCAACACAGCATCCACTGTTTCACTAATTTTAAAGAAGTAAAATCACAATCGACGACTTGGCAATAACGACGTCCTTCTTTTTATTTTAATTGAAGGTCAAGATTGCAATGGAAGGTGTTGAAGGAAGTCGGGGCTTACTATTGTTTCAAGATTGCAAGGTTTGAGTGAGGATGTACATAAAAATCACACAAAATTTTCGTGCGAATAAATACCTCATTTATTATTAAAAACACCAATTCATACGAAAACTTAATATAAATTGTATAAATAGTATATTTCATGAAGGTGTCTTTCTTTCCTTTTTTTTTTTTTTCCTTTTAATAGGAGATGATTTTGGTTTTTAATCAATTGCATTTCCAATCTAGAAATTTTATCAATTAAGTCCGAAACATTTCTTATATTTTTTTATTTGGATACTTTCGTCCGTCTCTGCTTACTGTTTTGTTCGTAACGTGTATATTTTTATATAATAAAATAGCATTACTAGTTTGCATCCCAGTCTGAAGGAACCGGCCGTATCTATAGCGTTTGTTTCCTCGCTCTTTTGTATTAAATCTGTGTTCTTAACAGAGAAGTTGGAAACATGATCAGGGCCGGCTCACTTCGATGCTCCATCCATCGGTTTTCAATTCAGATTTTCAAAAGGATTTTAGCACGGTAAATTTTATATTTCTGGCTTAATTAATAATGTAATGGAGGCATTTATAGAATTCAATTTTCATCCCCTCTAATTTCCAAAAGGAAAAAAAAATCTTTAACCCTTATATTTGTTATGAAATAATAAATGTTCATCATCATATTCATCCACTTTTCATATCCTCACTACTCATGATTATTAATATGATTCAATTTATCATTCAATATGAGAAATGAGAAATTGAAAGAGTGATGCAATTGATTATTTATAGTCCCTTCCAATTCTTTTTTTAATTTTGAAGCTTATAAATAGGCTTGATTGTTTATTAGTTGATATATAAGTTTTCTAAAGAGAATAAGAGAAATTTTGAAGTTGTTATCACTTATATCCACATTATAATGATTTCATTTTCTTGTCATCCTTTCATTCAATTCTCCTATTATTTTTATTTATTTTATAACACGTTATCGGCACGAAGCTTTAACCAATCGAGACAATAGATCATGAGGTATGTATCTATCAAAAGATTTAATCAATTATTTCAACAATTGGATTTCTTCTACACAAGTGCTCTACCAAAAGATCTAAATTATTTAGATCATTAAGAGGTATGTATCTAATTTATTCATGTACTTTAAATCTATTGATATATGAAATATATAGTTGAAAAACTTAAATGATCTACTAATAATCTAATATATGTTATTTGAAAAGCTTTAATTTTATTATTATATTTGTTCTTATTTTCTTAAATTATTATTATATATTGTATTATAGAATTTTTATCATATCAAACCTTATAAACTTGATTTGGTGACTCTTGATATTTTGAATAAGAATTATTGATTATGAGTGCTTGATTTTGAAAAAATATTCTTTGCTTTTTATGTCTTGCATATACTTATGCAGTAACATATCGAGAAAAAGAGTTTAAGAAATATTTTGGATCAATTTTATACTCGTTAGTAGCTAAATAAAATGAAAAAGAATAAATCTCATCCAATTGGATTTACTCCATTCCCCGAAGTGAATGTGACAATTTATAATAATTTTAGACATGGATGAAAATGCAGTCATAGCCATGGATATGATTGAAATAATTATCATTATAATAGTAATGACCATAATATTACATCTCACCACCGAAGTAGATAACTATGAAAAAAAAAGAATAAATTAGATAAAGTCGGTAGTCCGAAAAATAAATATTATAGATGTGAAATAAATGAATATTGATCGTGTACCTATTGTATACCAAAGCACCTCATTGAGGCTTGTCAAGCCTTATTGAAAAATAAAGAGTAAAATATGAATGTCACTTTTATATATCAAAGTAATAGTAATTAAAATTAATTACTTGTTAGTTTTTATATTTATAAATAAAATGTTTTATATTTTTTATAATTTATGTTGTATATTGATGGTTACAAATTTATTTTACTATTTATTTATTTGTTTGTGTTTATAAGGAATATATTGATTTATTTATTTTGTATTGATTTATTTAATTATTTCTTTTATGTTAATATTATATATATGACAATATCAATATAATAGAAAGCTCTAGAAGAACGACTATATTATTATCTAAAGAGATAGATTTTGAAAGCTCTAGAAGAGCAATTATATCATGACTTGAAGAGACAAATTTTTGAAGCTCTAGAAGAGTTAATAAATTATTACTTGAAGAGAAAATATTTAAAGGCTTTAGAAGAGTCGATATATTATTACTTGAAGTAACTAATTTAAAGGCTCCGGAAGAGCAAATATATTATTATACGAAAGGATAAATTTATTATGAATGATGTATTGTTCTCTTCAAAGTTTCATATAAATTTGTTGAGTTTCAAAGATATTTATCTATATAGACATTATATCAAGATGAAAATGTCAAAAATTGAATTCTTAAATATTATAATTACATCGGATAGAAAGCTCGTATTGGAGAAATTATTCACTTTCTCCTCTATTCTTTATTACCAACATTGGAATGCTTGAAAACAAAATATATTATAGTAAACCGGAAATTTACTAATTCAAATACTTTTATTATGTAACATGACCAGTTGTGCTTATCTTGGGTCTTTCATGATGCAAAAAATCATTAAAAAATTTATATGAATAACTATTAAAGAGCCGGAAGATTTTTTAATTTATTGAACTTTCATGTTCCGCATGTTGCCAAAGCAAATTGCTGATTAAGCCATCATCAAGCAAAATTGAGATTGAATCTCCAATATTTTAGAATGTATTCAAGGTGATATATGTGGATCAATTCATCCACC